TTTAATCAGGATATAGGATATGGAACTTTCAGTAAGACACTATGTGTGACCTAAAAATCACTTCGTAGGAGCCTAGCATCGCAAAAGGAGATTGACTGAATTTACTGCTCAGCGAACATTGATTGTAAGGATGATGGTTTCGGTCCACTTATGATTTTGGGTAAAACACATACTTTTATAAGGGTTTCATGATAGCAAATAAGGTAACTATTTAATGACATTCAGGCTTTGTCTTATGTTTGGTGCCTTTTGGATCCACTTTTTCAACTTCCTGTTGGGTTCCATAATGTACATAAATAACTTCTGACAGGCTGATCCACGCTCATACGCGATCACTAAGAGGTTGGAATTGTATAAAAAAGAAGTGGTAAACAGGATGCAAAAAATGCTGAAGCGATGAAATTATTAACACTTACACACACTTAACGTTCTGATGTTATGTTCTCGAGCCTAACAAATGATCTTTCCACTACTTGCTTCAGCTTTTTCTCCGCTATTTTGACCCATTCAACCTAGTTGCAACTTACAATTATTATCCCCTTGTTTGCATGCTTAGTCAGTAGATTTTTTAAAGTCAGTCCATTCTAGTGATATTAATTATTATGAACTTTGTCACGTGTTCAAGCATACCTTTGTTTGTCCAACTTTACACACTTAAGTATTGTTGTTAATTTATATCTGTTTATCCTGTTCACTCTTTTCCCCTGTCTTTCAGTTCTTTTTTGTGTAAAATGAGTTTAAGGCATGAATCTACAGGGCTTTTACTCAAATGTGTACCATACACCCGACGTACGCATTTGTCAAAGTCACAATCTATACTCAAGGGCTTCTTGTTACCTCATAAAAACAGTAAATCCGTTAAACCGTTCCACTATATAAATCTATTTATTGCTTCGCTAAGATGTCTCCATAAATATTTATTTAGATGTTTTTAGTTAACCAATGCAGTTCATGTTAGTAGTTTCACTGGGGCTGTACTTATTTACAACCCTTGTTGATCATTGGTCCTACCTGCATAAATGGCATGCAGGTTCTGCCATTAATCAGTTACCATCAATTCTTCAAATCTTTCAATGGGGCCCAACATATATGTCTTGCCATAAATCTCAGGCTGATAGGCATTAAGTTATCACTGCTATATTGGGCTGAACTGTATCTAAATAAACGACTTTTCAAGGGTAAAGGAAATTTTTACGTTTTCTCAGCCAAGAGAATGTTCCATTAAGGTCTCCATGGGTTAGTGTTAGGACCTCTAGCTTGTGGAAGCTCTACGAATGACCATCCTCAACAAGCATGCTCTGTGATATGACCTTTTGCCGATGATATCTAGCCGCGGAGAAAAGTGTGCAACTAGAATGATCAGCTGGCTGTTCAGAAGAATCTGACTCATCTTCAGAAATGGATAGAGGACAATGGACTTAGTTTTAACATTCCAAGGTGCGACGTAGTCCATCTGAGACATTTAGCAGATTATACATATAACCTAGGTAGTTTCCCTTTAGAAGGATTATCAGTTGAAGATATAGGTGTTCTTGTATTTAATGGTCTGGTATCCCAAGTCAAATTTGGTAAAAAGTGTCATTAGGTCAAGCATTTCACCGATAAATACGGGGTGCATCTCTGGTAAACTGTATACAAGGTATCCTCCTATGTAATCTCCAACCGCCTTATTCATCCTATTAAGAGCATGGTATTAAAGTGTTTCTTCCTTCCCCATAAAAGGACAACAGAACTTTAGAGATTATCAAAAGGCGAGTCACTCAAACTCACTCTCACGTTGAGCTAATCAAGTAATTGAATCTCCGCCTTCTAGAATATAAGCACATCAGAGGCGACCTTCTAATGATTACCAACGTCATAAACTCTAGGTGAGGTAGATAAGTTTAGTCTGAAAGAGAAACTTAGAAGAGATATCTGAAAACTAGGTATACCAACCCGTAAGTTGGACCTTAGTCACAAATTCTACTCGCCAAATGTAGTGAAGTTTTGTAATTTGCTGTCAGCTAATATAGTCTCAAAACACTTCTACAGTCTTTCAAAAAGGGAGCATGGTACATCATTAGCTATGGACAGTGAATCATACTAATTTACTAATACTTTCCTGCTCGTTTTACATACCTGGGTCTCTACGTGGAGGTTTTGGTGAAGTGCTGTCACTAGAAAAGGAAGTTTTGTAGGCCAAAGTTTCTTCCGTTCCGTCAGATGGGCGCAGTGTTATTCCTCTTATATGTAAATGACCCTCCTCGTCCAGTATCATCATCGGTCTTGCTATATGCTGACGATCTCAATATATGGGGAGCGATAAAAAGGTTGATAGCTTAGAACTTCAGAATGGCCTGAAGAAGTTATCTGAATGGTCTCGAATTTGGCAGTTATTGATAAGTACTTCCAAGTCTATTGTGATGCATATTGGTCATCAAGGTACAGAAACTTTCATGATGACTGACATTGAGCTAAACCACTGCACACTGTCATGCAGAAGAGGCCAAAGGTTTTAGAACCTTATGGCAACACATAAATCCTTTATTCATGTCGACGCCAAAACTTCATAGACTTCATATGCAGTATTTGTGTGTCCTAAACTTGAGTACTGTATACAAGGGGATAGCCTCTACTCATAAAAGACAGTGAGCCTTTGGAAAAGGTTCATAGAACAGCATCTAAGCTGACTACCGGAATAGCGAAGCTTTTGTATGGTGCTCACCTGGCTAACTTAAAACTGTTCCCGTTTATTACAGTTTTCAAATTAATTAGTGTTAAATTTGCGCCTGATATGCCCCAATCATTTATCCTCTAAAACAGAGAAGTTACGAGAACACTCCGAGAAAGTTCACAAGCCTAGAGCAGATTACTTTGTCAGATGACCACCTCCTAATGGCCCGACCAACAACGACAGTGATGCCGCTAACCTTTTGGCTGAACATTACTCCCGAACATTCCAGCTGACCCACATCAACTATACTGACGAAAGCTTCACCTGCACCTGTACAGGACTTTCCGAAGTGGATCTGAGTGATGACTTGGTGCTCCGTAAACTGCAGAACCTAAAAAAAGACACTTCTCCTGGTCCGGACATGGTTCATTCCGCTGTATTGAGGGAAGCAGCTTCAATCCTGGCGACACCACTTAGCGTGATGTTTGCACACTCGCTAAGCAGAGGCAAACTACCGGAAATATGGAAGCTGGCCCACATCACACCAATTTTCAAAGGAGGTCGTCGCAGTGAACCCTCAAGCTACCGACCAGTGGCCCTTCTCTCCATACCTACAAAAATTATGGAATCCCTAGTATTCGACGGCATACTACAACACTTATCATCCTCAAAGTTCTTCTCGCCTCAACAGCATGGTTTCAGAAAAGGTCATTCTTGTATGACCAACCTGCTGACTGCGGTGGATAGATGGACAACCATACTTGATCGCAAGGGGAAGGTTGACGTCATTTACCTGGACTTCTCAAAAGCTTTTGATAGGGTCAACCACATATGTCTTATCAACAAGCTTGGACGATTGGGCATAAAACCCCCTTTAATTGACTGGATCACTTCATATCTAGAAAACCGACATTTTAAGGTCAGGGTTAACTTCACTCTCTCTCAGGCTATGGAATGTCCTAGTGGGGTCCCCCAGGGCTCAATACAAGGACCTCTTCTCTTCTTGATTTACATTAACGATCTTCCTCAACAAGTTTCATCTGATTTATTGCTTTTTGCTGATGATGTGAAACTTTGGAGAGAGATACGTAACCATAAGGATATACTAGTATTTCTGGGGGATCTGACTCGACTTCAAAGTTGGGCAGACGACAACGGACTTACCTTCAACACTTCAAAGTGCAAGGTAGTCCATCTGAGACATGTTGCAGACTTCAGTTATAACTTAGGTAACTCACCTCTAGAAGTTTCCCAAGTTGAAAAAGATTTAGGAGTGTAGGTACCCTACGACCTGAAATCGTATGCGAACTGTGACAAAAACGCCTCTCAAGCAAACCTTGCACTGGTAACATTGAAGTGCATTTTTGGCCAGTTTGACGGTACAACCTTCCATATGATCTTCAACAGTTTTATTCGTCCCCACTTAGAGTACGGAAACATAGTATTTCACCCCCCCTCCAAAAGTATAAGGACACTCTGGAACGTATACAACGTCGAGCCACGAAATCAGTTCGGGGTTTCAAATTCAAACCTTATGAAGAGCGCCTCAAATCACTTAACCTTTACCCGTTAGAGTATAGGCGTCTTAGAGGTGATCTTCTTATGACTTATAGTATCCTTAATACTTCTGGTCATCCCCTTAAACATATTCTTAAGCTTAGTCATGACACTAACCTAAGAGGTAACACTCAGAAATTGGAGACCCTACATAGCAGAACAGACTGCAGACACAACTTCTACTCCGTAAGAGTTGTCAAGTGCTGGAATTCGCTGCCGACTGAGCTAGTCCAAGCGACCTCCCAGGAGTCCTTTAAGAGAAAACTTGACTTATTCTTAAGGACTAAGGATAACATATTATTATGATTTACCAAATTCTTTTTTTCTCCCTCTATTATCGTTCATATACCTAGGTTCTTGCCTGGAGGTATTGGTGATCCACTGCTACCAGACACGGAAGCCCGTTAAGCGAAAGCTTCTTCTATTCCGTCCTCAACCATTTGAACTTTCCCATCGAATCATCAATTAGTGGAGTTCATTACCTCAACACTATACTGAAGCTCCGTCTGCCAACTTTTCCAAAGAAAGTTGGATCAACTGAGAGACCACTGAAAATACCGCAGGTATTGTAGTTTGACAACACTTTACCAGTAACACCCATAATTGAAATCAAAAGTCAGAAGCAAGGAGGTTGGAAGATATATTTGATGGCTTATCAATATATCGAGGAGGGATTGATCTAATCTGGTTAGTGATCACAGGAGATGTTGCACACGCCGTTCTAAAACGTGATCTGGTACGGATGCATGACCGAGCGTCTTCAGCTGAATGAGTCCACTAAAACAAATGTGGTCAGCATTCAATTTCGAACACTTACAGAGCTACTGATTATGAGGATTTATTCACCACTACACCACCGTTGAGAGGAATAACACAAGCCATCAAGCCTCCTGTTCTTTTCAAACTGAAACTGAATTGAACGTCTATATTTTCGAACCAAGTTGTGAACCATTTGAATACTATTAAAACAAGTAACATCATCATCTTCTATTCGTACATTTGAAGTGGAATTTGATCTTCAGAGCAGTACAAATCTCAAAGATTGACGTAAGTAAATAGACTGCCTGTCCCTTGAGATTCGAAACAGCGCCATGCGTTTTCGCCCTGTTGACCTTCACGACGAATGAGCAGGTCGAGTGTTGTCGTACATTAAGTTGACCTGTCCCTTTGACCGTAAATATTTGCTAATTTCGGTTCTTAGTAGTCGTTATGAGTTTACCATGTGTCTGTAATTTGGAATTTTATCACAATTTGTTCAGAAGATCTCTGGGTTCAAGGACCGTGCACGGACCAGTTATGAAATAAACTCGAAGCAGTTTTTCTCAGAGCTGAATGATATCTTTTTGTACAGAATCTCCTAACGTCCACCTCTATATAGCGTTTCAATTGGACTTTCGGAACAATGATGTATTTAGAACCCAAATAATTACATGCTCTTCACATATTTCCCGAATTGATTGAAAGTTGCTCTCTTTAAAACTTACTTGTTGCGTGATTTATACCCTAACTATTTAGTGATTACTCTTCACAAATAGTTATGTCCTAAGACCGTTTTGGTTTGTCAGGACTGAACACTTATTCCATCCTGCAAATTACGTAACACTTATGGAATTTAATAAACAGCATTTTCATGCACCAAGTATATTCATTTCAGTTGGCCAGTTAAGGTTTAATTAACAGTGGCTTCTGTGTTTTGTCTTCTAGATTGTTCACCTCTAAGCATATTAGTTGAGGACGCGATACGAAATCCCTTCAAATATTTTGTTTTTCATGCATGCTCTTGATAAAATGGGAGATGAAGAAATTAATTTGAAGGAGGCTCTTATCAGGTCCCTAAACGAAGAGGGTATTTTACCAAAGCTTGAAGTACCTGTGTAATGTCGATAACGTTTCGTTACTAGGCCCAGCTAAAGGCAGCAGTATACTTAGCTCTAGAAAAGCACAACTATGCCGAAGGAATACCGCTTTCAAATCAGTCCATTCGGTCCTTATGGTCTACAGAAGATGGTATAGTATACCCATTCCATATCTCACTCATTTTTAGCAAGGCTTGATCATAGCATCCCTATTGGTGGATTTTATGAATATAATGAAACTTGAAAATACGTTAAATGTCCTAATGGATGAAGCGCAGATGGTTTGGTGTTGTTTACAATTTTAAGCTTGTAGAAACATCTAGAACTTCTTGACCGAGATAAGTTGATGGCCATTCTACCTACTGAATGCAATTCAAGCAACTCTCCAGTGCTACTGAACTTGATTGAAACACTTAAACACCTCCGGAACCAAAAAATAGATGAAACAGGTAAGGAAATGTACTCGTAAACAAGCATCGTTTATTTCATGCGGTAGAGTGTTGTCTTTTTTGGATTCTCTTAATGAACTAAACAGCGATAAAGTTTGTTATTCATACGGATTCATAAGATAGTCTTATGTATTATTAGAATAGTTTATTACGGAATATTTGTTACGGTTTCATCATGACATTCCGATGTCGTTCCTCTACGAAAAGTTCCACTGTACATCTTGATTGGTGTACTCTAATAAGGGTGTATGAAAAATGGGACATCCAAAAGTATGATGGTTAATTGGAGTCACTCGCGTTAAATTGATCATCAAAACAGTATGACAAGACTCAGATATCTGTGTAATAACATACAGCAAACTAGGTTAATGCTGTGCAATTATCCATATAGAACTAAGGTAAATACTAAAGTAATCAGCAGAATAAAGTACCGACAGCTCCACCAAGCAAAATGATACATCATTTAGTAGCTGCGCTATTGACGCTCTAAAAACAGGAACAATAAATGAATCGAAAATCGGACAGTTCATCCTAGTGGTCCAACAACGGCATGTCAGGAGGTAACAAAAATACTAAACTACTTACATGGAAGTAAATCAGACCTGAATTTATACGTTTAAGCGTATTAATCTGCTGTAAAAGTTTATTAATGCAAATAATATCTACGTTACACCATTAGATCATCCTTTTGGTGCTCGCTCTTATTGATTCTCGCCTTATTGATATGCGCTCTTTTGCGCACACCCTCGTTGGGGGATACCGACGTGATCAACCACACCGTTTTGCAAAATAAGTCAGCGTAGAAACGATAGCAGTTTTTGTGTTTAATAACCGCAGGTGAAAGGTTATAATCAAGTAGAAGCCGGGGAACTGATACAAGTCACATGACATTTTTGTGAGTAGTCCTTGTTGTTTGCTCCTCGTAACTTAACGTTGGCAGAGCAGTATTCACTATTTTATAAGGCTACCCTTTCTAACCGCTACATTCATCTATCGTAAAAGAGCATGACTGACGGTGCTCCTTACATGTGAAAATTATCTAACTGTCTGTACGCCTTAGTATTATCGACTGTACAACACCTACTGACACCTTTATCGAAGCTACCTGTTTGTGAGGACAGCCCCCAGATGCCCTGGTACGGCCGAGAGTGGGGAGAGTCTGCTCTCCCTCTCGAAATGCTCTCATATGGCCACGCGAATATATAGCCTCTGCCAGGGAAGTCCTACTCACTGCCTTCTCGTGGCGGGGATGTTGTTCACAAAAGTGAGAGGACGAAAAGCGAATGTCCGGCGCTTTAACCGGGTTGGTGGACATGGAGGGTCCACCTAGGGGAGTTGGAAAACCCTGATTCCAAACCAATGGTGCACATGAGCTCCAGTATTCTGATGGAACGAATGGCGAATGAACCTGCTGTTGGTCACTGGCTACCATGGGACTGCATCTCCTCACGATGCTCCACTGCCTTGTGGATCAGACCTTTAGGTCAAAGGCTCGGGTTGTGGCCCCCTAAGAAAACCACTTGCTTCAGTCTGGGCACCTGGGCAGTATTACAGCTCTCACACAAATCAAATGAGATTTGTGAGGCGCATATTTATCTGGTGCTTCCTTGTACCAATATTTATGTGTTTAAATAAATAAATAATAAATAAAATGTGAGGACAAATAGTGGTAATATACATCTAGAATAATATTTAACCGGAATAACCGGGTAAGTAATAGTAAGGTTAGACGCAGGGTATTAGGGAATGATGGTAAATCAGTTGATGAGGTGGTGAATCTTCATCGACTGAAATGGTTGGGCCGCGTGTTACGTATGCCTGAACATCGATTACCACGATGCGCAATGTTGACTAGTGTAGGGGATGGTTGGAAGAGAGTTAGGGGTGGCCAAACCAAAACATTGCATCAGTGTTTGAAGTCACTAACTTCTAGTCTGAGCCATGTTGGTAGATGCAGACTACCTGGTTGAGGTCCGCGTGACTATCGTAACCAATGGTTGGAGACGCTGGGTGACATGGCTCAGAATCGATCACAATGGCGTAGGTGTATACACTCTTTATCTTCCTTTAAACCTTGAGACTAAAATTGCTTCATATCTCTCTTCCTTCCTGTACTATATCCTTATATACAACCTATAATTTATATACTACTACCACCACTAAATTAATTACTTCTATGAATCCGGTGTTCATCTTGTGCTAACGTGGTATGGCGACTTAGACCGATGCATATGTGTGCCTGGTCCTACGTTGTCGCTGACTGACTGACTGATATTTAACCAGTAAGCGTGAAGATTAATAACCAAACTGATTCTTAATAGTGTGGCTTACTGAAGTAAAATGTAAATGAAACTATCAGTAAACGGATCAGCACTTGCCAAATAAGTTTGCTACTTTAAGCGTCACGTCATTTAGTAATATATACCAACCTGTGACTAACCTTTTACTTTTGGGTAGAAAGTCGACTGTTATTGAAGTTTCTAGTGTTTGTTTCGTTTCTTTTATTGTCATTTTGTTCTTACTTTCAGATTCATCTACTTCAGCATCAAATAATTCACGTAATAAGTAAGTTCTCAGGGAATTATATTTATAGTAATTTTTGGTAATTTTTTCCCGTTTACGTAAACTTTGTTTGTTTCTTATTTTAGATCAAGCAGAATACCTGTCTTACAGAGTCGTAAAACGAGGTAGTATCATTATTATGAACAAGTGCTTGTTTCGTTTCTATACGAAATGCATTTCATTGTAGCATTTTTATAATCCTATCCTATTTCTGCTTAACTTAATTTTATTAAGTTTATCTTTCTTTTTTCGTTGTAAAAGTACTATTTCATGCACGTAGAATTCTACCTGGAAGTTACAGGCATAAATATCTTTCTACTTGAATAGTTTGTGAGTATTTTTACTGTAGATAAGGTTTAGAGATCATATGGGATTTTCATGTATTTTCATCTATGGTTTGTTAACAGTTTTCCGTGTGGCGCATATATATCTGGTGCCTCCTTGTACCAATATTTATGTGTTTAAATAAATAAATAAACAGTTTTCCACAAAGTATTCTGGCTAGAATTTCTTAATTAGCCAATATGTCTTTACGTAGGACTGTCATAATGCTAGATTCTCAATGTCCTTAGAGTGTGAACTGCTAGATTTACAGAAGGCTCCGCAACATTTATTGCTATTAGTTTGCCTAATGAATGTACCCACTAATTGTATTGACTGGATTCAATTAACTGTCAGTTTTAACTGTTTATATCAAGTTTCCACTCTCCTGCATGTACATGCTTCAATAAGCCTTTTTCTATTCCTTGCTATTTTACACGTCCGTGGTTGCTTCATCCCTTCATGGTAGCATGATTGTTTTAGTTTTTGTGCTTTGCTTATATGCTTGTATGAATTAATCAAGGCTGTTACTGTTTGGTCGTTTATCCTAAGAAAATAATACTTTGCTGAATTAGAAGTAATTAATCCTTTGTACTTACTTTGTACCGTTGAGTTATATTTCCAAAGACATATCGTAACAGATAGCCATAAATATGTAATATAAGTTTGAACATGTTACGCTGTGTAGCTGCTGTGTGTAGCATAGGTTTTTCGGGAGTCTGAGTTTAATTAATCGAACACCGCCTCAAGTCCATAAGTCAGGAATTCCTCCTTGTTTATTGTGAGTTTTGTTTTCCCCAATTTTAAAAGATACGTGTTTATCACCACAGCTTAAAACGAAAAAAACAGTGTTTCGAATTTATCATAAGTTTTTCTACTACACAGTTCCTTCTATCAGCCTTTGTTGTTTTATTCATTCCCACGTCTATTTCGAAAATTGTAAACACAAATGTTGGGTTTCACTTCCTGTTTCTTGAAGTGTGTGATATCAGATTCTATTGATAAAAATTCTACCAGACCTGTAACCTCACAAATGATGATAAAGTACTTAAGCTCAACGGTCTTACTTCAGTTCAACATATCTAAAATATTTATGTAGTATGATGTGTAATACTTTTTGGTCGGTGTGGAGATGGTCTGTCACATTCAGTGGACATCTATTGTCTGTGTGAAAATCGAAAAACATCAATGTTGTGATAATTAAATGTTCTTCGAGCATCTACATTAAGTAGGGTTTTCTCAAGGTAAAATAAGTAGGATAAATTCTGTGTGAAAGCAAATAGGATTAGCTTCTTAATCATCATACAGTGACTTTCAAAAAGCCATTTTATAGTTCTTGGTCGAAATAGATCATTTAACATATTCAAACGAGTTTCCTATGGCAATTGGAAATAACTAGAAAATTTCCATAGGACTTTGTTTTTGTGACTTCAAATTCGTTCTTTGATGTCAGCAAATGTGCCGTACCATTTTGATAATTTATTACTGATAGTAATCTCCGACATGGATATTCACTTTGTCACGGTTTTAGATTTTAGTTAAACCAACTGGTGTTTGAAAACTCAAAGATGGGATATCTCACTATAAAGCTGCTTCACATTCTAGCGTATTAGAGAAATTTTTCATTGCCAGTGGTAAATCGATAAAAAAGACTTGTAAATTATGTTTGGAAGTGATATTTATAATAAAAGTAGTAAGAATCTCTCACACTGCTTGAACTGGATTCTACTGAAGTTAATTAACTGTATAATATAAAATATTTCTAGTATCTAACTAGTCAAGCATATGCCTATATATTAGGCTTTCACTTCATTTATTATGTTTGCCCTTGAAATACTTTTTGATTTTTACTAGCGAGGATTGATTGAACAAGCTTCGAATAAGTCACATATTAAATAAAAGTTAAATCATCGCAACATAGTTCTGCCACATACAGAATACTCCATTAAATTGTTTACCAAATAGATAAACTAGTCTACTATTTTAGTTATATCGGCGTGTATGAAATATTTCCAGTTTATAGCGCATGTTTTGTCCTAATTGAAATTGAAATTAACTTTGTTTTATTTGACTTTACTAGTTTTGAATCCCAGGTATCAGATAAAACACTCAACACTCCAAATCGCAACGTTAATGGTTCGTCAAAAGTTAAAGAAGCTATAAACACTTCCCAGGAAACTCCCCTTCAAGAAGTAGTCACTAATCACAGCAGCAGAACGCAAATGCGTACATCTATAATTGGATCTACAGATTCTCCGCGACCTTCAACACCGAATTCTCCGGCTTTGAGTAGTGTTGGTAAGGTCGAATCTCCTGGAAGGACGAATTCAGGAGGGAGTTCACCGTCCATAGTCAGGGTGTTTGCACCAGTGAAAAAACAATCGTCTTTAAACGATGACAAATCAGATGTTGATGATGACGATGATGATATTGAAGAAGTGTTAAGGGCTGAAGAGTCAGTAAGTGATTTCATTTCAATGTCATTAGTTAAATTTTACTTACTATCCTAAAATGTAAATCGTTCTCTGTCACTGGAGCTACCAATTACTTTATTCACTTTGTTCACTATGTCTATGGTGTGAAGCCATTCTGTATACTTAGGTCTTTAGAACTTTCGCTCCTAAGTCTAAACATTAGAATTAGAGCTATATGATCACTACTTTATTAAAGCCTTTAGGTGATATCTCTACTTGTAGTGTAATTTAAAGAATATTACTCAAACCCGTACTTCGTTACTCAGTTACGTCACATTCTAATGGTATCAATCGCATATAACTTTGTGGTACCAGAAAATGGATATCTTGGTTTGTAATAGGCAAAAACGACAGTCTTGGTGTACTACTTTAGCAACGCAATCTCTCAGACTCATTAAAACAGCACTTCAGATGAGAATAAGGGGAGGTTTATTACCATTGACAATAAAAATAAGGAACCACAGAAGTATATTGGAGGAAAACGATTATATTTTTCACTTTGCTATGCCGTGAACTACCAAAGTGATTAAGGCAGTTAATACAAACTCAGCTAATGGAGTACTCCAGTTAGTTAATCGATTAATACATCAAAACTAGCCTTCTAGCTCTGAATACATCCACAAAAAGGGTTATTTTGTTCTAATGAGGGTGATGGTTCAGCGTCATAACTATTGTTGTACAGTGGTTGGTGGTTGTACACATACATATCACAGAACGACAAGTTAGATAAAAACTTGATACTGTTGGACATGGAGTAGTACTATATTATTTCATTTTAACACACTGACAGAAAAGAAAAGTTTATCTAGAGTACCAAAAGATTATTACTTTTAAACATGACGACATATGCTTATTTTATTTATTTTATTTAAACACATATATATTGGTACAAAAGGGCACCAGATACATATGCGCCACACAAAATAATGAAAGTAGGAAGAGAAGGGATGAAAAGATAAGGCGGACTGAAATGTACAACCAGAAGACTCTTTCAGTTAAGAAAGTTAGAACCACTCTTTATGTAGAAAGTAAAAGAAGGTTGCAGCAGGATCGCCACTGGCTTCTATTCTGAGCCATATCTGATAACGTCTTTAGCCACTGTGTTGCACCATCTCTCGGACCCCAACTAGGGAGTCGTAAAGGACCAACAGAAGCTAGCCCTTTGCAGCTTTCTTTCATGCCACGACACCATGTCATACACTGACCTCCTCTCCGCTTTTTCCAACCAGTCCCAGAGTCGGCAAATAATGCACGATGTGGAAGTCTCTGGGACGACATTCGCAAAACATGTCCAAGCCACTGAAGTCGGTGTTTCAAGATGGTGACAACAATTGAATTATCGTCTCTGCACCCGAACACACGATGCCGAACCTCTGCATTACTAACATGGTGTTGCCACTGTATGTCATCAATCCTTCGGAGACAACGATGATCGAACACAGAGAGACGTCTAACATCCTCAACTCGGAGAGGTCAGGTTTCACAAGCATAGAGCAAAACTGCCCTCACCGACGCGTTGTAGATCCGACCTTTTACAGCCAGACTAACATCACGAAGGCGCCAAAGATGGCCCAGATTGGCATAAGCGGCTCTGGCTTTCATTATACGTGCATCAATCTCATCACTCACGCCACCACCAGCACTTATATAGCTACCTAGATAAAGGAACTTCTCTACTTCAATCTGCTCACCATCTGGGGTGAGTGCAGGATGAGAATCCTGCCAGTCTTGTAGGAGTACTTTGCACTTGGAGGGTGCAAGGCACATGCCGTACCTGCGGACACTGATTTCCAACTTATTGAGCGCGGATTGCATGCCTTGGGCATTATCGCACAGTAAGACAATATCATCCGCATACTCGAGGTCAAGAAGTCGTTCTCCAGGCAACGTATCCACACCGCCATTACTTACATCCATCAGAGCTGTTTCCAGAATGTCGTCGATGGCAAAGTTGAAGAGGAATGGTGAGATTGAGTAACCCTACCTAACCCCACTGCTCGAATTGAACAAGGGAGAAAGGTGGTTGTATGCCCTCACTCTGCCTGAGGTGTTCGTATACAGGGCCTTTAAGATGTTAATGAACTTCTCAGGCACACCCTTCTTCAATAGACAATCTCAGAGAACAGTCCTGTCCAACGAATCGAAGGCCGCCCTGATATCAAGAAACACTACGATTGTTGGCATGCGATAAGTATGACGGTGTTCTAACATTTGGCGGAGGGTGAAGATGTGATCAATGCATCCTTGACCAGAACGAAAACCAGCCTGCTCCTCGCGAGTCAATCGTTCTCGGGTTTTAAACAACCTACGAAGAATGACAGAAGCCAATAGTTTGGACGCAATCGGAAGTAGACTTATCCCCCGATAGTTGTTACAGGAACAACGTGAACCCTTTTTAAAGATAGGGACGACTATTGACTCATTCCATGATGTTGGAACACTTTCTTGCTCCCAAACCTTTCCAAACAACACCGTCAGTTCCTTAGCCAGAAAGTCATCACCATCTTTAAAAAGAGCCGGAAGTAAGTCATCTGAGCCCGGTGATTTGTAGCGCTTCAAGAGTTGGAGTTCCTTGCGGACTTCCGTCTCGTTTGGTGGATCAGTCGTCACCGGCCATGGGGGGCAGGACAAACTGGTTGATGTTGACGGAGCAGCAGGCCAGTTGAACTGCCCTTCGAAAAATTCCGCCCATCGTCCAAGACGTCGAGAAATGTTAGTGATTGGCATCCCGTCATCCTCGTAGATTGTTTCACTCACACCAGACTTCTTGCTGCCAGTGGCTCGGATGAGTTGGAAGAGCTTCCGGCAGTTACCAGATGCAGCTGCTGCTTCCATCTCGTTAGCACGCTCCGACCACCAGGCTTCTCGGTCCTTACGCAAGCTTTGCCCGATTTCATTACGTAACAGCCTTCGTTTGTGGTCAAACTCACGGTCACCCGGAGTAGACCGACGGGCTTCCATCAGTTGTAAGGAGCCAGAAGAAGCCCAGTGCTTGTAAGCGGGACGTTTCGCGAAGCCGCAAGCGGCTTTACTCGCCATTTTCATGGCGTCGTGAAGATGCAACCAATGCTCATCTATACTTTTCGGTGGGATGGTAGCTAGCCTATAGGCTAGCTCCGCTCGATACTTACTTGCAACAGAAGTTGCAGCCAGTTTACTAACATCGATCCGTTGTTGGTGGTCAATCCTTCGGCCACTGAAAAGTAAGGTGAGATTGGCGCAGACCAGGGCATGATCAGACTCCAGATAGGTACTCCAAAAGGAGCGGCAGTCTTTTACACAACCACGCCAGCGGTAGCTGATCGCGATGTGATCAATCTGAGTCCAGGCTTGAGATGCAGAGGGAGGACGCCAGGTGGCACACCGGCGATGACTGTGCCGGAAGTTAGTGCTATCCAGGAACAGGTTGTGGTCTGTGCACAGTTGCAGCAAACGGTCCCCGTTATCTTTCCGGCGACCAACAAGTCCCCATAGGCCACCTAAACGACTCTTCTGTGCCTAGACGCCCAACCTGAGCATTCAAGTCTCCGGCTAATACTACAATATCTGTCGAAAGCGCTTTCTGGAGAAGAACTGTTAACTGATGGTAAAACTCATCCTTGATTGCATCCGGGCTGCAATCTGTCGGGGCATAGGCGATGACGAAAAGACACCGTTTCTCACGCCGATTTCTTCTCACTTTGATGGAACTTTCTAATCTAACAGCACATAACCGACTGTTAATGGGGATCCAATCGATTAGTGCTGCCTCAGCCTTAGCGCTTAGTGCAACACCAACGCCAGCAAGACCAGACGAAGATGACACAGAGTCCCCGGATAAGCGCACGTGAAACAAGCTTTTCGAAGCGACAGATGGAGAGAGAATTTGTAGTACTTCACTAGAGTCTTGAATACGGGTCTCGGATAGACAGCAAACATCAACACTAAGACTTTCTAAAGACATAGCCAGCCCCATCTGTTGTCTGATCTGTATTAGTGTGCGAACGTTGAAGGAAGCCAGCTTGAACAGCGTACGTGGTTTCAGAAGGACTGCTTCAGTATTCGTAATCGGTGGAAGCATTCACTTTCAACCAGACAGTGAATGGAGATCGTTTAGATAGGACAGATTTTCCACCATGGGCGAGCTACTGCATAAGTTGGAAAGGAAGAATACATAATTTGGGAATAAAGGGAGTGAAAAAGCGACGTAGTATATAATAGTAATAATAATAATAATGGTAATAATCATAATAATAATGTAAATTGTCTTGCTTCTAGTATGATCAAGGATAGTATCGTCAATAGAATTCATCATTTCATTTATTTGTTTGTGGGCTGTGATTATGCCCGGGTGCCCAAACCGAAGCAGGTGGTTTTCTTAGGGGGACACATCCGGAGCCTTTGACCTAAAGGTCTGATCCACAAGGCAGTGGAGCATCGTGAGGAGATGCAGTCCCATGGTAGCCGGTGACCAACAGCAGGTTCATTCGCCATTCGTTCCATCAGAATACTGGAGCTCATGTGCACCATTGGTTTGGAATCAGGGTTTTCCAACTCCCCTAGGTGGACCCTCCATGTCCACCGACCCGGTTAAAGCGCCGGACATTCGCTTTTCGTCCTCTCACTTTTGTGAACAACATCCCCGCCACGAGAAGGCAGTGAGTAGGACTTCCCTGGCAGAGGCTATATATTCGCGTAGCCATATGAGAGCATTTCAAGAGGGAGAGTGGACTCTCCCCACGACATATGCTAACAAGGTAGAAAATGATTTTCATAGTTTAAGTCAAGAACTGATCTTAGTTAAATCGCTATTTAGAGCATAAGAACAGCGGACGGCCGTTTCTTCCTAGTCTGGGACTCTTCAGCAGTGCGCATTCACTACCCTAGGATATTTGTCTCTCACGCGAACGCCTAACTTCTGGATCACACCCGGTATCCAACACTTAGTTTCCTCGATGCGAAGTTGTGGATGCGCACTTTCCAGTCCCACACTAGGTCGAAATGGTCGTCCAGTGCTTCCAGACTTTAAATGGTAGTTTAACTAAGGTCGGTTTGTGATTTAAACTATGAAAATTCTATAATCAGGATTTTTTTAAGAGCGCAGAAAGATTTTTATAAAACCCATCCGTTGCTTTATCCGAACTGTAGTTGGTGGGAGCGTAGCAGATACGACGAAGATGCGAAGGCGTGTATCCCTATCTTTTCGTGTTGGGAGACTTTTCAACTTAACATTTCAAGCTAGTATACGTATTTAGGATATTTTACTGAGGGTGGTCGTGGTCATGCAATATTTTTCTGGTGTATATTCTGGAATATTCTTCACATTCATATCTGTTGACTAGTAGGGAATCTGTTAGGATCAACCCATATCATTATTGCTGTGACCTTTTGGTGTTGCTGTAACATTAATCATTACCATAAACTTTCCATACCTCGATATTATTGTGAACCTTGTGATTTGGCAATGTTATGTAATTCGAACGCATTATATTCGGTCGCTCTCTATTGTACAATACCATATATACTGTGGTGTTTATGCATATACTCATCTTTTCTTGAAGCCTGAAATCTGTTTTAAAAGTCCTGTCCTCTCAAGTGCATGTGGTTGTCATCGTTGAAGTATTGTTGTGTATTCGTTATAGATCAGTTCCACATAAGAAGCATCCCTTAGTCACTTGCATTTTTGACCCATACAATTAGCAGACTGACAGAATCTTAGTGAAAATCTAAATTAAATTAAGGACATTCTGAACATAAAACACTGTGTTTCTGTGTCTAACATTTACAGTTTCCACTTATCCATCCAACTGGAACAGTACAGGACCAAGTATAAAATAATATTGGTTTCCTTTAATGAAAAAATGTTTTAAAATGGTAGCTTTGGTGAAATTACACAGTAACCATAGGTGATATCTATTGTTAGTGTCCATAAAAAGTCCGTCTAACGTCAAAGCTTTATTTCACTGGGTTCTCCTGCCGGATTTTTAACTAAGCATAGGATCTATAATGTTGTTACAACTTTTCGCTTGTCTGACATCATAGATATTCTCTATGGGTTCAACAGATCCTCTCCTTGTAATTGGATGTTATATTGCGATATCGATTCTGAATCACTAAATTGTGTTTGATGTGTTTATTAGCCTGAATCTCGTATATATACCCTAAGTCAAGGATAGTATTATACCTGTCTACCGGAACCTACTGAAGTATTAATATCTGATCTTTTGGTCGTGGATATGGTTTGTCTCCAACTGTATATCAGTTGGATATTTACAGTAAGTCCTAAAGATGATTTGATTGTTTAAAGATTAAAACTTCATGTGGAACAGCAATATACTAATTTTAAAGAATAAATTGATTATTCAACTTTTCGACCCTAACAGATGAATTGAGATTTGTAGGTGAATCGGTCATTGCTGAAAATTATCATGCTTCTCTCGGTAGCAAGAAACTGGTCCTGTTCGTGTCTGTTTCATATTTATTATTATTTGATATTTGTCATCAGTTTACGCTTATTGTTTTGTTGAATTATCATACCTCACCTCAAATACAAAGTCTTTAACTATATATATATATTTCATTGTTCTTTCTAGGTGGCAGATGATACAGTCGACCAAACTGTTGATTCAGAACAGAGTTTAGGCTTAGACTATGTTGAAGAAATACAACCACTACAAAACTCTGTCTCATTAACACGTACTGTTTAGTGGTCATGAATTGTTATATTCTATAATGACGTGAAATTTTCTTAGGTTTCAGGTTGTTTTCCTTTGATTTCTGCATCGTATAACAATAATCCAATGTTTCTTTTCTAGTGTTTTGTACTATTTGTTCCCTGATTTGCGATTCGTTTACAGCTATCGTTTTAGTAATATTTCCATTCAATTAACAAATCATTATCGAATGATAACCTGAATTTTCATGTGTTAATGCTAGAAATATATCAGTGTATAAAACATCATATATGTTTACTGCTTAAATAAAAAATCTTTGATGGGAGACTTTCTATTATGTTTCCATAGTTTACCAATGACAAGACACTTATTAAAAATCAAAACAGTATTTTAAGCTTCATCCAATGTAACTTTTTTGAAATTTGAGCATTCTGGGTTTAAAAATACTATTATAAAATAAAGGCACATTTGAGGTTCGGGTATCAAGGTATGAGGTAAAATGTCTTTGTAAAAATATAGGCTCTGTAGAAGAATTGTGATCAAAATTCATGAAATTTTTCATGAAGACATTATTCCATTGAACGGATTTTCTGTATGTTTCTCCAAAGGCGAAGCACTGTTCCACCACTGAAATGATTGTGAAAATAAAAAAAGCGTTTACCGTCAGTTAAATTTGGACACTAGGAGAGCCTGCTGTTAGTTCTGTTTTGCTTTTACATGCATATGTTGTATTGTTTACTGAAAGGTATTTCAAATGCCATTCGCCACAAACACATCGCAAATGATTCCACGGTTATATGACTTATTTTTTATTGGTATGTTGCTTTCATGTACTCAGTTACAGTGGTAATGTAGTTTATTCATTATCCATCGAACTCTTTAGATTCTCCTCACTCAAGCAATACTAGATTTTAATTTGATTCAATCGTTTTCTTTATGCTCATACACAGACAGATTTTTTATTCATATACGTACTTACGCCTGTTACCCCTCGTGGAAGACCATAGGCCACCCACTAGCATTCTCCATCAAACTCTCCTGAGTAGTTCTTTCTAGGCGCTACTCATTCTTTTGATGTCTGCTTCCAATTCACGACGCTGTGTATTCTTCCGCCTTCCTTTTTACCGTCTCCCTTCAGGGTTCCAAGTTAGGGCTTGCCTCGTGGTGCAGTTTGATGATTTCCGTAATGTATGTCCTATCCACTTCCAACATCATTTCCCAAATTTCTCTTCATTTGGAAGCTGGTTTAATGTCTTCCACAGTAGGCAGTTTCTGATGGTATGCATCCAACGGACATTGAGTATCTTGTGTAGACAATTGTTTGTACCGTTTTGATGATGGTTGTGTTAGTTCTCGAAGTTTCAGCCCTGTTAATTAGAACTGTCTTGGCGTTTGTACTGAAGAATGTGACTTTGGTGTTGGTTGAAAGTTGTTTTTATTTCCATATGTTCTTCAATTGTAGAAATTTTGCCCTTACTTTGCCAATCCTCGCTTTCACGTCTGCATCGGATCATCCTTGTTCATCGATGATGCTGTCCAGGTACGTAAAGGTTTCCACCTCTTCGAGAGTTTCTCCATCAAGTGTGATTGGGTTGGTGTTCTCTGTGTTGAATTTGGCAATCTTGGTTCTTCCGTTGTGTATGTTGAGGCCCACTGATGCATATGTTGTTGCCGCTGCTACACTATCTGTCTTGACTTAAATTTTTTAGTGTGTATGAGATAGAAGGGTCAGGTGATCTACGAAGTCCAAACTGTCTAGTTGCATGCGAACTGTCGATTGTATTCCATGCTTCCCCTGAGACGTGGAAGTCTTCATAATCCATTCAATCGACGGAAGAAAGAGAAGTGAGGAGAGTAGGTAGCTTTTTTTAACTCAGGTTTTTACTTGGAATGAGTCTGTCAGCTGCCCTCCATACACGAGTTAGCAGTGTAGTCGTTCGTAGGAATTCCGTAAATATATTTCTTAGCCACTTATGTTGGTTTTGAAGATCACCAGATTATTGTCAACCGTAATATTCAGTAGTAAGGATTTAATCTCTTGTCCTTTACTGTATGTTTAGAGGCATATTTTCTTGTTATTAAGATTCTTTTTTTATTTGGTTAAAGAAAAAATATCGTAGCAGAATAACGTGGATTCTCAACTTCTTCAGCCTGAAACTATAGTATTAATCATTAAAACGATACAAGTGTACATGTTGTTTATCGGAAATGTCTTGGATAAATTGAGTTCACAGGGGATAGAATGAAGTGATATGGAGGAATTAACTTGGTTTGAACGTTCACCCATATTAATCTCATGAGATTACTACGGAAGATTTGACATAGTTTGAATTATAATTTCTAATATCTTGACTCTTACATATGAGCTTTACTCAACTAGTCTATATTACATAATCTGTCATCGATTTCGAGAATTTCGTTTCCGTACTCCTACAATATTCAGGTATTTAACCTATAAATAAGCTAACGCTTGGACAAACCTAATTCTTCCACATTCTATCCACACATGTGAACTCAATTTATTCAAGACATTTCCGACATAAAATATGTACACTTGTTTTGTTGTAATCGTTAATTATATAGTTTTAGGCTGTAAGTAGTTGAGATGGATTCACGTTATTCTACTTAGCTATTTCTTTATTCAGGTTTATATCTGGAAAAATATTGTACGAAGTTTTTTTTAATTCGATGATGGGAACTAGTTAGCAACACATCGAGATGAGTTACAAAAATGGATAATCATATTCCTCAATTGTGAAATATTATTGAAACAGGTCTCACGATAGGTTAGGCCTCAATCCTTTGTATAGAAGAAATTAATGGCTCATTCTCAGTTTAATGGAAACCCTCAATATTAGAAAATTCAAACCTTCTTCACATGTACAAATACCAATTGTTCTTATCCTGAATCTAGCCTGATAATCCTTAATCCATTTTAATACCTTTGGCGGTGTACTATCATATATCTTCCTCTTATATTTTTACTTATCGGTGTGTACTTATTCGACCATTCATCTGATCGATCATGTTAGTTTCCGTATAAGTGTCGTTACAAGTATATATATGGTCAGATTGCATGATATCATTTGTTCATATAAATCTTATGTTTTCTGCTCAACCTCGTTTTCTCATCACACATTCTGAATTATAAAAGGGACAAAGTTTTATAAATATTCGGTATTAAGAAGTCAATCTGCAGCTTGAAACTTCTAAACGATGATATAACAGAATTGTTTTAATTGTAATTCGAAAATTAAATACATCCAGTGTCATGCTTCATCATTCATGACCAAACCTACCTTAAACTCATCTTCCACAAGTCTTCTTTCGTTATAGCATCTAAGAAGTCTTCTTCATCAACAATGTGATTTCGACGAAGCTGAAAAAGATTTATTAATTGTTTTACTTATGTCTCAATAAATGTTAGTGACTTCATTATTTATTGGATGCACTTTTTTGTTGGACTTACAGTGAAGTTATAGGATGCTTCTGTGTATACTTCATCTGGAATTTGCAATTACCACTTCTTTTATTGACTCAAAGATGCAAATCTTCTTCGTCTTTGAAATTTTCGACGCCACTGTTTTACTATTAGAATTCATACCTATTTAGCGGCTGGAAGTAAACTACGCCGATATTGGTGGTTAAGTACTTTTGATACTGGACATACTTCCAATGAGTGTTTTACGGAGGAAGGTCAAGTCGGAGTTTTTATTAAAGTTGTACGCTTGTGTTATGGAGAAGGTTTTTAGTGATTTGATGAGGCGAAATTTTCAATTATTGAAATCAGTGAATAGGACACTAATGGGTCGATGGATAGAATATGATATAATGTGGCTGGTTGATGGTCACTCATGAGATCGTATTATTTATTAAGTTCTCAAACAATTAGACTATCACCAGTCAATCGAATAGATTTTCCAAGTAATAAAATGATGTGTTTGTATAAAAAAAAGTGTAAACGATTAAGTGGTTGGAAGAAACTAGCTTGTGGGTCACTTATTTTCCAGTCACTTATGATTTGACTTTTTGGTCTGATCTTCGGACATCGTATCCTTTTGTAGTCTTAGGTTTTATTTACGGTTGTCAGTCTGTTATCAGTGATGTGTTCATAAATAACAAGCTACTTTTTCATGTACGTGACGAAAAATCGTCATTGACCAGTTCATCAAAATCATACAATTCATAAACAGACTCAATAACTTCGCTTTATATTCGTAAACCAGGTTTTTGTGTTTGCAAAAATTTCATTTCATATGCATAAAACGCTCCACGAATTCCTACATTTCCTGTTAAGGCTCTTACCAGATCCTTCATTTGTCATGTTCATTTACAAGAACTTTTCCGATCGAAAACTTCAAAATGATTGATTCGAATTACCAGACATTTCTGTCATTTCTCAGATAAAGTTAAACTGGAATGCAGACGGCGTTGTAGCCAGTCATCCCATGGATGTTTGTTTATTTCTGTTGATGAATAAAACATTTCCATATTAAAAAATTGGGGAATACTCATCAAAAGTCTGCTATCATAAAAGCATCAAATCCATATCTTCGGGGAAAAATGTGGATTGGACTAGGTTATGTATCAATACGTTACTAACTTTGGCACGGTCTTCATCGGGTATCCGGAGGTCTTTAAACCAATCGTCTAGTGTACTGAATCCAGTTTTCAGAGCTGTGGATTATATTTGAAAGTTAAAAATTGGTTTCATTATTAAGAGGAGTGGAATGTTTATTTAGTCAACTAAAGAATGGTTTAGTTCAGAAATAAAGGTCCTTATGAAATAGTGAATCGTCTCTTTACTAGTAAATCAATGCAACTGTAACCAAAATGCTATGCCAAAAAAAACATTTAATCTATCAAAATGCGTACATTTACAAACAGATGTTAGGTTCATTTGCATTCGGACTATCAAGACGTTATTTAGGAACAACTTTCATTTGGTGTTTACACTTATTTGACGTCGGAAAGTGGATTTGTTTAATGCTTCAAATACTTAGTTTTCGGGCATGTAATAAGCTTGTAATCATTTAGTGCAAGAATCTAACCATGGTTTGTACTAGAAATGTCCCTTTCAACAGTTTTTGCACATACGCGTTACATATTTCTTATTCATGTCGCATTATATAGAGGTTTTAAATTATATTATTCGATCATTTTTGCGGGGATGGTTGAAAGTAGTCATTTTCTGAACTGACTCGAGTTTGATCTAGTTAGAATTTCAGAATAACCTTATGGAATTAAATCGATTACAGAAAGTGTATGTTTCATTCTTGAATAAGATTAGTCATTTGCGTGGATCAAGACATTCGAAACTTGTG